TTGCACTGTTACCTATCGAAGACTCGAATAAACTTTTGAGATAATCGATCGCGGGTCGAAATTTTGTGAAATTTAAATTTTGACGTGTTTTTGACCCGATTGTCGACGACGTCGTCCGAGCGACCCCGGATGACAAAACGGACTACACCGGCACGTCTGGAACGTCAATTTTGCATAGAGAGGACACCCATTTGTTACGTCGCCGCGCGTGAATAAATCGCATATTCGAGCCTTAGCCCGTCCGCCTCTTCCCCTCGCATTCGCCTCAGCCGAAGCTCCTCTTCGTCACGAGAAATCGACCCGAGGTCCCCTCGTACGCCTGTCGCTCTTCCTAAAGACCGTTCCCTGTCACCACGCGCTTTGTCTTCACCTACTCCCGTCGCGCTCCGGCTTTCCCCTCCCACGCCTCTGCGATTTTTGTTGTCTTCTTCCACGTCGTGCCACGCGAGCTGCTCCTCTGCGACAAAGCTACGCCACTGTCGTCATCTTCCCCCCCGCGCGACTTTTGTCACTTCTGTTGGCTCGGCTCACCGCCAAGGTAAGTGACGGGAAACACATCTCTTCTCTGGCTATATAAACCCCACTTGGGGAGGAGTTCGGGGGTTGGCCGAAATTTTTTGGAGGGTGGAGGTGCTGCCAAAATTTCCTTTAAATCTCTTTGGTTCGATTTTCCTTACTCTGTTCATCTCTTGTATGCTTGAGGCCTTTTGGAAGTGCTGTGGAGAAGATTTGTGGAAGTTTCGGGGTCGGGGCTGAAATTTCGCTTACTTCCTTTCTGGAATTGTTGTTTTGGGGTTTCTTGCTTTTCTCGTTTCTGATTTAGTGATTAGTTGAGGTAAGCTCCTTATAATTTTCCCCTTCTTCGGCAGTTTAGCTATGGCGAGCTTCATGTCATGGGAATCCTTCTTCTTATTCTTTACATAACCATGAACTCTCTTGCAAAAAAATCTGGATGAACTTGTGCATTTAATGCTAGATCTTTGGATGTTTGCATGTATATCATTCATGGCTTGTTTTTTTTTTTTTTTTAGGAACCATAACTTCTAAAAAAAATGATACATTAGATCTTTGGATGTTTGCATGTACATCATTCACGGCTTGTTTTTTTTTTTTAGGAACCATAACTTCTAAAAAAAAATGATACAGAAAGGGTAGATATATATGAATCGGAATTTGGATAAAGGATAGGATAAGCATATTATAATTTGGGGATTTGTATTTATGTTGCTTACACTTTTCTGTTATTCCTGTATGGGCGCTAGTTTTCATTTATGTAAGAAGCTCAGCTTCTTTTATATCAACGGGGTTGGAGGGGTCACATAAGTATATGAATAATGGGTTCTCTGCTTTTCTGGAATCACTTTTTTTTTTTTTGGAAGAATATTCAAGGGCTGCTTTGAAAGGGCTTTAAACGCTCCTTTAGCTATGTGTATCCATCTTCTTGGGGAGAGTTAAATGTTGTATTTTGGTTTAACAAACTTGCTGATTTTGAGGATGTTTTGGTGTTGTTTGCAGCTATATTTAAGTTGACAGTTTTTTAGATGGTTTATGACGTTTCATCTTTTTGCATGATTGTTGATTTGGGTGACATTCCGAAGCTTTAGGCTTGAACTTATGTATTCATATTGCAAGTTGTAATTGCTAATCGACATTTTATACGAAGATTCCATATATTAATTTGCTAGCTCATGCACCATATGATTCTCATTTACTTGCATATTATTCAGAAATTTTCATGGTTCGTTGAAGCTAGACTCTAAAATTTTTGGAGGTATTTATTTCCTTATTTTGGTTTGTTGGACCCAAAACATAAGTTTCAACTCAAAAGGAAGGTTAGATTTGCATTGATGGGATTTAATTCTTTCAATGATGTTTGCATCTAATAACTTCTGCCTTCTTTTACGCACATACCACTCAATTCTTATGCGCATGGTCTGATTTTGGCAAGTTATTTGGAACATTTTAAAAAACATATTTTAAGGGCTGAATTGGTTTCAGTTTAGAGCTTTTAAAAAATGCGTTTTATGGGCTGAATTAGGTTCAGTTTTGAGCTTTTCGAAATGTTGTTTTTATGGGCTGAAATGACTGTAGTTTTGAGGGCTTTTAAATGCATCTTTTGGCGATGTTTTGGCAAAGTTTTTTTAGCTGCCGTTTTGGAGGTTATAAGACTATTTGGAAATTTGTTCTCTTTCAATTTCATGATACGAAACATATAAAATTATTGGAAATTAGAGGTGCCGCCTTGGGCTTTGGAAAAGGTTTACATGTGATACTTTTTTGAGAATTTGGAAACTTCGAGGAGTTCACTTTTTGGAAATAAGAACTTGATTGTTTTATTCATGAGATTTTTTGAAGCTTTGACGAGGTTGATCCTATGTAAAATTTGAGGTTGTGTGAGTTATTTTAATTGAGTTAGGATTTTAGTTGGCCTTCTTTGGGCTTCCTTTGAGTTGCAGTTATGAGGTGCTGATGGGCGCACTGTCTTTTGAAAGATTTGGATGATGTAAATGCACTATTTAAGTTTAGATATTGAATATGTAAATGCATAAGTGTTGTGGGGCTACGTATGTAATCGTGGCATTGGTTTGGACTTGTTTTGACTGGTTTGAAATGTGGTTTGGAAAGAATACATTTTGGTTGATCCGTTTGCGAAATTGGAGGTGATACCCATTTCAGATTGATTCGGGGATTTTCGGGTCTTCATTTTCGAATCTTTTTGTCACGAGTTTTGAGGATTGATTCATCCTTCGTTCTTTTCGATGTTTTGGGTGAATCAGTCCCTCCTCTCTCACCCCATTTTTGTCATTTTCTTTTCCTTGTTTTTTGGTTCGGTTTTCAATGTTTATGTCTGATGCATAAGTGTCCACGTATAGTCTTTTGCTATACGTGAAACCATCAAGCAAGGTCGCAAGTAGTCGTTTTGGGGTGTATGGTGTTGATGATAAATACACACCGAAGATAGAGCAGAAAGATGTCATATCCTAAAACATCAAGATCCAGGCATTTGATGAACAATAGAATATAATATCCTTCACCGACATAAGTCTAGCGAAAGTTGGCTCGA